ATTGGTATTGGGACAAAGTAATGTTTTAAGCATGGAAATTTACATAATGCAAACTTTGATATGACAATACATGGCTCTGAAAAGTGAAGAAGATAAGTTTAAAAATAACCTTAAAGATCAGAACATGATCTAACATAGGTAACAGTTTTAAAAATTGAATGTTTAAAAATACCTGAATTTTAATACTACTAGAAATTTAAAAGTTGGGGAGAGTTGATATACTTGGTCAGAAATCATGTATATCAGATGGTGGTGATATGAAATCATTGTTCAGAAATTTGGAGATAGCTATTGGAGTTCTTTCTTCAATGAAAAATAGTGAACCCTTCACTTTTTTAGTAGATGACTCACTTTCTGAAAACTATTGGCCATTAATATGCTAACATCCCAAACCCAACTGACACAAAAGAGCCAAGTTCTCTACCTCATATGTACTTAAACAAGGTAATCAGAGGGAGGGCAAGTGAAGAAATTAATTGGATTAAAAATACTTAGCAAAAAGCAATTAAAAAAACAGAGCTGCTGAGAAAAATTTAACACTATTTTGTAGTTTTATTATTTGCATTGATAACGAACAACTTTCTTACGGTTATTATTGTGTTGCCAGTAAAGCAAATGAGTGATTATACATAATTTGCAAGGTATCAAGACTGATAAAGGAAGCACGGCTATAGAATCAAGAATTTAAATTGGAAGGAATAGAAATCATTAAGTGAACTCTTGTGTCTTCACAAGAAAACAAAAATGGAAAAAAAAAAAAAAAGAAAACAAAAAGTCTCTTTTCTTGCTTTGTTCAATGAAACAACATTCCATAGCACACGGTTCAAATTGTTGTTACTCATACACACATTTTTCACACTAAAAGCAACAAGGGCTCATTGAGGGAAAAGTCTGATTTCATGCATGGTGCAGGAAGGAACAAGGTGAGTCTGCAAGATCTCTATGTGCCAGAAAATAAGGACATTTTCAAAGATCAATGGGTCATGTTAAGAAGAGAGAGCAGCCAACATAAAAAATGTTCCCACTGACCACAGCTGAGACAATATGACATCAAAAGGAGAATAGAGGCTGTGGTTGAATGAATCTACATAAGCTCTGAAAGCTTTACGTCCATAATGATATATATATACACACACACACACCCAGTCAAACTTGAGACTCAATTGTTTTGGTACCATTGTCTCTTTTATTATATGGTAAATAATATAGATACTAATCACAGAAGGAAATGGCGACCCACTCCAGTACTCTTGCCTGGAGAATCCCAGGGATGGAGGAGCTTGGTGGGCTGCCCTCTATGGGGTTGCACAGAGTCGGACACAACTGAAGTGACTTAGCAGCAGCAGCAGCATAGATACTAATGGATGTAAATATATTCATTTTTGGACTTAAAAGGAGCTATTTGTAAAATTACTGCATATTGTGACTTCTAGATGAAACAACGTCTAGAATTCACCTGAACATACATTTTTATGAGTTTTGTGGTCCTAAGTATATGATGAATGCAAGATTCAATCATGTGTCCAAGTCTTCACAGTTACATTTCTTAGTATCCTATTAAGTCAAAGATCTAGACTCTTAACTTGAGCTTCCATGAAAGTGAAAGTGAAAGTCGGTCAGTTGCGTCCGACTCTTTGTGATTCCATGGACTATAGCGTCCATGGAATTCTTTAGGCCAGAATTCTGGAGTGGGTAGAGCCTTTCCCTTCTCCAGGGGATCTTCCCAACCCAGGGACTGAACCCAGGTCTCCTACATTGCAGGTGGATTCTTTACTATCTGAGCCACCAGGGAAGCCCAAGAATACTGAGGTGGGCAGCCTCTCCCTTCTCCAGGGGATCTTCCCGGCCCAGGAATCAAACCAGGGTCTCCTGCATTGCAGGCCAATTCTTCAGCTTCTATAGACCTCATCAGACTTAGATGAGAAAAATGATCACATCTTCAACTCAAACCACCATGTGCAATTTAACATTCTCTTCAGTTATGAATGTAGGTCACAAATCACTGTAGTATTAGTGGGACTGTGACTTTGTAACTACTAGAAATCACAGACATTTTCATATCATATTTCAACTGTTACAAATACTACATGACTTATTTATGAGTCTTAAAAATTATGTTAATAAAATATATATGATTTACATTATGTTATTAAAATATACACAGTTGTATCACAAATTTTTTTTTAATATTTGATAAAAATATTTCAATGGAGTTTATTTCCTCTTTAATTTTACATACATTATTTTATGCATTTAACATCCTTAGAAGGGTTCATAGGCTTCACCAGAATGCCATATACATCAATGGCACCAAACAAGATTAAGGATCTCTGAGAGGGAAAAAAATCCTTTACAAAGTCTTAACAATTTGAGTGGGAGCTGTGAAACTTTTATAATAAGCCTAGGAAACTGAATTCAAGAAAGTGGGCTAAGTGGAGACTCTCTTCTTGAAGCTATGAAACTTGTAGTAATTTTAAAAGAAGACTAAAAATATTCTAACATTCCTCCCATTGAGGGCTGTGGTCTACACCCCCTACCTCGAAACTGGGTAGGGTTGTGACTTTTTTGACAAATAAAGCAGTGACAGTATGGAACTTCAGAGGCTAAGTGCACAAAGGCCATTAAGTTCCTCTGTGTTCTTTGGAACACTTGTTTTGGCAGCTACAGCTGCCATGTAAGATGCCCACCTAACCTGAGGAAGTCTAAGCCACACAGGGAGGCCTTACAGGCAATTAGGTCAGCAGTTCTAACTGAGCCCAGCTATTGTGTCACTAACCCAAGTGCCGGACATGCTTGTGGAGAAGCTTCTAGATGATTTCCACAACCAAGGTGTCTAAATCACCCCGGGTATTGGCTTCCCAGCTGGAGCCCAAGACGACAGAGAACAGAAACAAACCATCTGCTCTGTGCCTTGTCTGAGTTCTTGACCTATAGAATATGGACCAAAATAAAATGGTGGTTCTTTTATGCCCATGAGTTTTGATGTGATTGGTTATACAAGAAGAGATGACCAGAATGGGTTTATGTGAGCCAAACATGAATCTAATTAGTTTTATACCATGAGTCTCTCTTAGTAGGTAATGTGGTTGAAACAAAACAGGCCACAAGTAGTCTGAGAGCCATCCAGTTTTCAAGAAAATCATGCTGTTGCAGTTCAACTGATGGTAGAACTCAGCGTATGATTCTGACTAGATGGTCTAGGATCATATAGAATCATCCTGAGAGTGCCCATTCCAGCTGTCCAGCGGCCACTTATCTGTCTAAGAGGCATTTCTACTCTAAGCTATTTTCACCAAGTATGGGCTATTAGGCCAATGTTGGATTTGATGCCAGCACAACATACATTTATGTCTACAGGAATGGATTTCTTTAAAGAATTTAGAAGAAAGAACTGCTTATTTGTCAGATGGCTGAACCCTGTGAAAACCCCACGCGTATTTAGTGCCTGGATCTCACTGTCATTATGCACATGGCATTGCTGGTCTGTCTTGCTACACAAACCACACGACCCCAGGCAATAAGGCATAAATGCACCAGAACCACCCCTAAGGCATGGCGAGCAGCTACCACTTACAGATACCAAATGAGACCCCAGACTTTACTTTGTTTGCATTATGGGTCTTGAGGTCTTACTATCCTATATTCATTTGGATAATGGATTGTGTGAAGCAAGAGCATGATAAGGTTTTTAAAAGTTTTTTTTTTTTTAACCAGTAGGTCTTTTTTTTTTTACAGTCTTTCCAAAGCTAGTAATCAGAGAGTATTCTGCAAGAAATATATGATTATAAAAACATTTTTAGCTTATAGAAATTGGTATTTATTAAACTTTTAATTCTAAACTGTGTAGAGATAATATATATATATTTTAATATTTTTTCTATTTAACAATCTACTAAAAACTAGATTGTCAATCTACTAAATTGACAATCCTCAATTTAGGGCCAAGTTAGGAAAGTACTTTGGCCACATCATGTGAAGAGTTGACTCATTGGAAAAGACCCTGATGCTGGGAGGGATTGGGGGCAGGAGGAGAAGGGGATGACAGAGGATGACATGGCTGGATGGCATCACCGACTCGATGGACATGGGTTTGAGTAAACTCCAGGAGTTGGTGATGGACAGGGAGGCCTGGCGTGCTGTGATTCACGGAATCGCAGTCGGACATGACTGAGTGACTGAACTGAACTGACTAGGAAACATAGTGTTGCTTTTTTCCCCCTTTATTATAATATTTACAACAAAGTATAAGCTGTTGCTCACAAGAAATTTGCTTATGTCTAAAGCCGTGTCCCTTCCCTGGTGGCTCAGTGGTTAAGAATCTGCCTGCCAAGCAGGAGATGTGGGTTTGATCCTGGGTCAGGAAGATTCCCTGGAGAAGGAAATGGTAACCCATTAACCCACTCTAGTATTCTTGCCTGAGAAATTCCATGGACAGCAGGGCCTGGTGTGATACAGTCCATGGGGTTACAAAAGTCAGACACAACTTAGCAGCTAAACAACAGCAATAATAAAGTCCTGTCCACTTTGAGCAAAATTATTAATTTACCTTAAAGCCGAAGTTATCTAGGGTTCTGGAGCTTTTCTGTAGATGAAAACAGTCCAGAGAACTAGACAGGATAATAAATGGATTGAAGTCCACTGTAAGAATGAATTCAGTTACATAAAAATTCCATTGGTCTGAAGATATCAGACATGGATACATTTTAGATGAGTTGAAACATAGGAAGTGTGTTACAGTGTTAGTTGCTCAGTTATGTCTAACTCTTTGCCACTCCATGGATTGCAGCCTGCCAGACTCCTCTATCCATGGCGATCTCCAGGCAAGAAGGACATGTGGATAAATGATATTGTTACTTTTGGGAAGAGCCTCTAGTCATGGAAGAGCCTCTAGTCAGGAAGTGAAAGGAAATCCACCTGTACTTTTGAACAACAGAAAGCAGAGGTTGGTGACATTTGGTGAGACTGGCTAGAATAATTGTCAAAGAACTATAAACTCATACCTGTGAGGTAGGTGTTGTGTGAGGAATTAATGAAATAGTGAGAAAGGGGCTGAGACATATCTTCATTCAAATCCAGTTTCTCAGGTGAAACTACACCATTTTCTTCTCCACTCAGATAGCGCATAAATCCATCCACTGATATCTGTCCTAGAGGAAATGAAGAGTTAAGAGGAACGTGAATGTATTATTTTTATGGGTTTCTGATATCATATTATTATTATTATTTTGCGGAAAACTCTGGTAGTATCCAAGATGAAAAACATTAGCCCCAGTTGCAATTGATATGGATAAACAGTAATCTAGGTCATGCTGCTTTACTATATTTATCCCTAAATGCCAGAAATAATAGAGAAAAATGTAATTACATGAGTCTCACAGACTCTCAGAGAATTTAAATACCTAAACATGGATCAACTGTTTTTTAAATATAAGATTGGTTACAATCCTATGCATGGACACCAAAATGTTTTTAGTGTTTATCTCTGGGTAGTAAAGTCAAGGGTACATTTCCCAATGTTCTCTCATAGAAACATGTTACTTTTATGGCTTTATTATTTAAAATAAAGTGAAAATGTTTTCAAATAATAATCTTTTTCCTCTGAAAAAGAAAATAAATATGACCATAACTGAGGAATAAAAATCTGAATGTTCATAAAAATGAAGGTCCTTAACATTTCTTATTTAGAATGACTTTATTTTAAATGAAATAAATATGTCTCACACTTTAGTTTACTCAGATTCTATTTAGAATTTTTTTGTTGTTGTAATCTTTCTGAGGTGACTAATACTAAATATCGAGATAATTTGTTATTGTTACTAAAGTAATTTTTATACAATACATGGTTCATCATTATAGTTTGTTTCTTCAATCTTAACAATCAAAGCCTCAAAAACCAACCAACCAACCAAAGAAACAAAACAAACACAACCACCAGTGCATTTGTGAATCGTGAAGATCTTTCTGATAAATGTTAGAGGACAGTATTTCTTTTTCCTTGTTGAAAAAGTTTTATATTAATATAAAAGTAGTATATGTTTATGGAAGAAAAATTAGGAAATGACATGAGCAGAGAGGGAAGAAAACTGAAATTTTTCTGAACATGCCTAACTCTTCCTTCAGAGAGAATTACTATTAAAATCCTAGAATATACACTTTCAGAGGAAGAAATGTGTGTATGCATGTGTATGTATAGTTCTTTTATGAAGATGCAGCCATATATATATATATATTTATGCTGCTGCTAAGTCACTTCAGTCGTGTCTGACTCTGTGTGATCTCATAGACGGCAGCCCACCAGGCTTCCCCGTCCCTGGGATTCTCCAGGCAAGAACACTGGAGTGGGTTGCCATTTCCTTCTCCAATGCATGAAAGTGAAAAGTGAAAGTGAAGTTGGTTAGTCGTGTCCGACTCTTCGCGACCCCATGGACTGCAGCCTACCAGGCTCCTCCATCCATGGGATTTTCCAGGCAAAAGTACTGGAGTGGGGTGCCATTGCCTTCTCCATATATATGTATATGTACATAATAACTGAAAAGTATTATGAACATAACCACATAATATTAATATTTATATTTTATGTATTATAAACTATATAGAGTTATAACATGACTGAATAATATTCCATTATCTTTGAAGTTCTCATTTTTCACTAGTATAAATAATATTGTATTGAATACTCTGGTAGTTGAATCTTTGTACAAACTTTTTCCTCAGAATGAGTTCTCTGAAATAGAATTGCTGGTTCAAAGACTGCATATTTTTCAGACTTTTAGTATACATAACCAATTTGCTTTCTGTTAAAAGTTCTAGCACTTTACTCTTTCACCAGTGGTTTGCCTTCTCTTCATCCTGATGTCAAACTCAAGAGGTAAAAACTTGATAGCAGGGGGCGGTCCTGAGATGCCAGCGGAATAGGACGGGGAGACCACTTTCTCCCCCAGAAGTTCATCAAAAGATCATTTGAATGCTGAGAAACTTCCACAAAACAACTTCTGAATGCTGGCAGAGGACACCAGGCACCCAGAAAGGCAGCTTTCTCTTCAAAAGGAGGTAGGACAAAATACAGAAGATAAAAAGAGAGACAAAAGAGTTAGGGATGGAGACCTGTCCTGGGGAGGGAGACATGAAGGAGAAGTTTCCAAACATCAGGAAACCCTCTCACTGGCGGGTCTGTGGGGAGTTTTGTAATCTCAGAGGGCATCATAATTGGGAGAGGAAAATTAAAAAAAGAAAAACAAAAACCACAGATTACATGCCTAACCGCAACTCCCAGTGGAGAAGTAGTCCAGACACTTGCGTCCACCGTCAGCGAGCAGAGGCTGAACAGGGGGCGCACGCTGCATTGCTTACGGCAAGGACTGGGCCTGAAACCCCTGAGGGCAGTCTGAGGGAGCTAAAGTGAGATAGCAACACAAAACCATGGGATAGCCAGAGATAGGAAAAAAAAAGAGAGAGAGAATTTTCCCGTGAAAAGCTCAAATCTAACGCACTGCTGGGCCCGCTCACAGAACAAAGGACTAAGCAAATACCAGAGAAGAGTTAGCCAGCTGCGAACTGGCTCATCTCCCACTGGAGGCTTAGAGGCAGGCAGGCGAGAGCCAGAGACAGAAGACAAGGGGCAATCTCAGTCCAGGAGATGGCATCCTCCACCAAACTGTGAGCAGACTCCCAGTTGCTAACCATGTCTTCCTGGGATTTTGGATGCTTGACATCCACCAGGAGGGTCGCAGTCAAAGATCAGCTCCCCAGAGGAGACACACAGCACACTGGAGACGGTGCTTTTGCAGCGCACCCGGGAAACTAAGTGGCTGGGAGACGGGGGAGGTGATTAAGATGCACAGACCACCTGGGAGAGTGCACTTGCCAGCACCTAGTTGCTGGAGCTGCTCGGATCTGGGAAGGGGACAAATTGCAGGCCCATCAGAGTCTGTGCCTCTGTGGAGTACCTGAGAACCTGAACCTGAGCAGCTTAGACCTGGGAAGTGCACGCAACCCAAAGCCTGCTTTGGACAGTTTCCCTACAGAGCAGCCTGGAGCCTGAGCAGTGTAGACCGGGAAAGCACACATGTCGTGAGCTGGGGCAAACCCAGTGTGGCCCAGGCACTGTGAGCACTTTCCCACACACACCAGTGATATTTGTTAGCAGTGTTACTCCCTCCCCACAGCACAACTGAACAAGTGAGCTTAAATAAGTGACCACCTTAGCCCCCTTGTGTTAGGGCAGAAATTAGACACTGAAGAGACCTGCAAACAGAGGAAGCCAAAATAACCAAAANTTCAGGATAGGGGACACATGTACACCCATGGCTGATTCATGTCAGTGTATGGCAAAAACGACTATAATATTGTAAAATAATTAGTCTCCAACTAAAATAAATAAATAAATTTTTTAAAAAAGAAGAGGAAAGAAGCAGAGGTGAGAATCCTGATTATAAAATATTACAAATTAAAGAGACTAACAAAATTATAAACAAATGCCACTCATTAATTTTTTTTTGAAAAAAAAATGATAGCTAGTAATTCTCATTTTTATTGATTTGAGCATTATTTATCCTTGACTGGTAAGAGATACATCACCTGTAAATGGAAAAATTGTTTACTCACAGTGTAAATCTTTTTACACCAAATAAATTTCTCAAAATAACTGATGAGTACATTCCCTAATTCTGGAAACATTATAGTTAAATTGCCTTTATATTTTCCAGGAACTAATAAATAAATGAAAAGAAGAAATCTGGTTATTGGATTTGAATGAGTGGAGCTATTTAAATGGAAATCTTAAATAGGAACAATTATCTGCAGTACAAACTCCTTAAAAGTCTACTCTAACATGCACCTTGATTAATATCAATAATTACAAAAGGAAAACGTGCTAAGATTGTTTCTCTTGCATTAGAAATGAGAGATGTGACACAAAATTCCTCACACTGGTATATTTGTGTGACCAATTCCTAATAGAGGCAATCGTTTATATCTTCAAATAACCATCACCTATCAAGATGATCGTTTCAATCATGCTGATTGATGGGTACTCTACGGTTACTACCTTTGAAACGTTCCTTTGAAATTCATTTACAGTGGAATGCCTATATTCTTTCAGACTGGTTTCAGTTTTTGTAAGCAAACCAAAGTCAATGTCACTTAGGGCCAAAGTTATTTCAGTAGGTAGTTTCCAACAATATTTTGAAACTTTGTAGAGGTAAAACATTTTTAAAAAAATTGAATTTCTTCCTAGTTTTCCATTTCATCCATTTTATTAGTAGGAACAAAAATCATATAGCAAGAGTACAAAAGATGAAGATCTGGGATGCTTAAATTAAGCTTTAGAAGCCAGGGTGAAACAGCCTTGCTAGGATCAGGGCTACCGGGGCACCAGGTTCTGCATCTTTGCATGCTCTGCCTCACTGGGACTTTTTAAAATAGAAAAATATGGGTGTTATTTTACTTATCTTTTTGTAAAGTGACTTTCAGTTTGTCGTTTGAAGTTTGGGGTGATCCTTCATCTGCATTGTGTACAATAATCATTTCACTCTGGTTAATGCCATTTTGCCAGCTTCTTCTCAAACGAGTTTCCATTCCTTCCTCCCTCATTTCTTCCTTCTCCTCTGTCTCCTTACCTTCCACTTACTTAACATTTATTGAACCTCTGCAATGTACTGAACACACAGAAACATAAAGCAGAGCAAAGCCTCTGCCTTCAAATAGATCATAATGTAACATAAAACAAGACCATTCACCCCTTGGACAGCAGGCATGCACCACCTCCAGAGCAGGATGTTCATGTCTCTTTGTCATCCTTGGGAACTACGATTCTCTGTGCACAGTTGGTACAAAGTCAGCATTTACGCTGATGATTAGTGATTCAAAATAGAAGAGAAATGGTTTTGAAACTGGAAGATCACCACGGATGGCATAATTTTGATTCTTTTATCTGCTTAGGTCGAATCATACGAAATCATTAAAATCTGGCATTTTTAACCTACATAAATGACAGTTTAACACAACTCAATCAATCTCTACTGCTATTCCTCAAAGCACACAGTAAATGCAGGTGTCTTGGGGGCCAACGAAGGAGTGTAATATGACTCCTGGAATAAAGTGTGCCTCAAGGAAAATTCACAAGTGTACACTCCTCAGTTCAGTTCAG